ACTGATCAAGCAGCGTTTACAAGCCAAAACAGCTCTAAACAAATATGTGACCCTGGAGCACAAAAGCAGTCTTAAAGGGATAGTTCACCCAAAAATGAAAATGTGATGTTTATCTGCTTACCCCCGGGGCATCCAAGATGTAGGTGACTTTCCTAACAAACCATACATCAATGGAAAGCTATTTATTCGGCTTTCAGATGATGTATAAATCGACCCTTATGACTGGTTTTGTGCTCCAGGGTCACATATGTGGGAGGAACTGGAGACTTTTTCACTGTAGGAAGTGTTATTTTTATGGATTATGGACTTGTATTTTAGCTGGAAGTGAGCTGTGGATTGCTTGTGGATTATTGTGATGTTTTTATCAGCTGTTTGGACTCTCATTCTGACGGCACCCATTCACTGCAGAGCATCCATTGCTGAGACACTGATGCAATGCTACATTTCTCCAAATCTGATGAAGAAAAACTCATCCTAATCTTGGATGGCCTGAGCACATTTTCAGCAAATGTTCATTTTTTGGTGAACTATTCCTTTAAATACACTACCAGTCAAAAGTTTGGACACATCTGCTCACTGCCACATTATTTAAGAATAATAGTAAAGTAACTTTTGAGTAGTCGTGTGGGTTGTTGACCTGAAAAGACATGTTTAAAGCTCTTGCACACGATTGCATAAGAATGTTCTGGCTCTTTTCTGCAGGTAAAGCGTTGGTTTCAGCAGTCCTTCTCCGCGTGATTCTCAGCCTTTAAAGTTCTGGAAGACCTCAGCCACCTCCAGCCAGCTCCGGAAACTCGCCAGACCCTGCTCCCGGATCTGCTTTCGGCCTTTGTCTGTGATCACCTGACCGCTCTCCTTCACGATGACCAGCTTCGGCACGGCTGTGATGTTGTATCTCTTCTTCAGTTCGCTGGAAAACAGCAGAAAACACGTCAACATCACAAACACATGAACCTCAGGCCACGCAACCCACAACAGAGTTATGCTTTGTAGCTAGTTTACATATTTCATACAATATAAATATTACACTATATAGCAATAAATTGCAATTTTTATATAATATATTATATTAGCAAACATACACTCAAAATCAATATTTAAGGTTTCCATGCTGTTTTTCCAAAAATAAATATTTTATATTTATATTGGTAAATATATATATATATATAAATTGCAATTTATATATATATATATATATAATTTATGTATATTTTACATTTAAAATGTATAATGCAATAAAAATGTAAATACAGTACAAAAAAAGCTAAATACAAAAAAGGCAATCAAAGGAATCATAATTTTGACCGAACAGTCATACTGCAAATACATAATGCAAATGCAAAAATAATAAAACCATGTTTTCCATGCTATTTTTCAAAACAGAATAACAATATAATATTTTTTATTAATACTGATTGATTTTACAATGAAGTAATAATAACCATTTTTATATATTATATCTCTATAGACGGATAGATTGAGCAACAAATACTATGTAGACTTTCAATTAAATATGAAATCATAAAAGCTGCATGCAAAATAATTATTGAAGATTTAGCAAACATTTAGATGGAGTTTAACACCTTTTGCTCAATGAATTTCAATAACTAGGTCAGATTAAATTGTATAAATAATTACAAAATAATTTTACAGAGAAACGCATAACATATTTTAGACTTGAGCATAATTAGAGCTATATATTTTATATGCAATAGAAATTTCCAGGCTTGAAAATCACATTTTTTTAATTCCCTGATTAGTGCAATAAAATGGCACACGCGTGCAGTGAAACTACAGACTGTCTATTTATAACATAATCCTCCAGGTGTGTGTGTGTGTGTGCATTAAACCTCTTATCAGGGACAGACTGAAAGCTGTAATGAAAGGTTACTGTGGCAGATGCACAATAACTCATGCATGCATCCAAACGCAATGCAACTCACTGCTTGTAGGGATCCGTCCAGGGCAGCGCCAGCCAGTCCCCGTGCATGTCATGATAATACTCCACCATGTCTTCTGCGGATTTATCCGAGGACATGAAGACGATCTCAAACTGTGCAGGAGGCTCGCTCTCCTCCACCAGCTCGGTGTAGAAATCACACAGCAGCGGGGTGAAGTCTCGACACGGAGGACACCATCCAGCCGAGAAATACAGACCGACCACTTTATTCCGGAGAGCTTGCTCTGGATCCACCAGATCTCCTTCTTTATTCACCAGAGTCCGGCCTGAAAACACCTCGACCATCGCTGGAGATCTCACCTGTGCGCTCAGGAGTGTCTGTGCACCTGGATAAAGTGCCTAACTTACTGTGAAAGTCTTGAAAAGTGTGGGGAAACACCTCTGCTTCGCACTCTGGCGGCTCTTCTGACAGCTTTGCTCGCGGAGACGCGTGTTTACAAATCGCTTCCGGCTGTGGCGAGTTCTGCTCATGAATATTAATGACGCACCGTGACGTTCGACTACTGATTTGCTGAAAGCTGCGTTGGAAAGCAGACGCTGGTCACAGATGGTTTAACTCATGAATATAAATTAGGTAAGCAGTAGACGCTCAGGGAAGGTTGCCGAGCAACGAGAAGCTACGTAATTAATATTCATTAGATAAGGGTACGCCGTAGCCAGAGCCGTTGTACAATTCGTAATCAATCTCATTACTGAAAAAGTTCAATTTTAATGATTAAGTTCTAATTACCCTAATATAAATTAAGGTAAACAGAAATTAAGCAGCCCTTAGAAACTGAAGTGAACGAATTCAACGATAATTAACGATAATCTCAGGTAATGTTAATTATAAACATTATCCATTAGCTCGAGTCCAAACTCAAATATTCATATAATAATAATTTTTAAAAAAATATTCACGCTTTATATATATATATATATATATATATATATATATATATATATATATATATATATATATATATATATATATATATATATATATATATATATATATATATATATATATATATATATATATATATATATATATATATATATATATATATATATATATATATATATATATATATATATATATATATATATATATATATATAAACGTGAATATTTTTTCTGATATTAATACATTTTAATATTCTAAAAAAATTAATATAATTTCTCAAAAATAAATATTCACGCTTACATATATAATTTTTTCGGACATTACTAATTTTTTTCTACAATTTTCCAAATTTTTTTTTTTAAATGACATGGCATAAGGAGGCAGTCCTTCGGATAAAGATTCAGACACATTCACATTAACTTTTTTTTAATCTTATAAGGATAGACTTACATAATAATTATAAAAATTACTTAATGAATTAAGTAACAGGTTTTAAAATGTGTTTATACTTAAATGAAAACAAAATGAACTATCTACATGTAAAAAACAAAAAAAACAGATTCGGTCCAATAGAAGCCATTTACCTAAACGTGAAAGAACATGAAATTTGAGCTATACATGTATCTGCAACAATCATCAAATTGCACTGCATTTTTGTCATCTTTTCTCTTTTTTTATACAAAGTAAAGAGCAACAGCATCTTAAAGGGACCATACGTTCAATTCTCTCCACGCAGTTTGCTCTAATTCTATATCTACACGCTTGAATTAGATATGTGATATTCAATACACGCACACATTAGCCCGCTTTACATAAAGATTTGTATGTGATTCGTCCCGATTTCGTAGCGTAAGGCCTGTTTCTTCATTAAATATGGCACTCTTCATAGAAACATAGTAAGTTTGTCCTGTAGCAGAACTGTGTCAAAAGGATATGATCCCTCAAATGCTGTTTTTAACACTGGTTTCTTGCCTTGGATTGGCACGCCACACAACACCAGTGCGTTTGTTCTTACAGAGCACAGCAGAAAAGAAAATACTTAGTTTAACTTTTGTGTTTACTTAGAAATGGATTCAAAAACCAGAACAGAAACGCCACGATTAGCAACACAATAAACAAACTTTCATTTAGGGAACGAATAGCCGAAATCAAAAGACAGGTACACATGCATCACACTAACGTACGGTAACAACTCTACTCGTATCATGCAAAAAGAACGGTCTAGTTTTCGTCGGTTTTTAATCTTTTTGAAATTTCCCACGTCGACCCGACATCAAAACACAGTACAATACTACAGTAGGTACATGTAAAAGGCCAATCCCATGAGTATGTCTTTCTGAGGGGATCCGTTTGCATATCGACACGTCCGCTGTCCATTCGATAAGACATGACTCAAGCGACGCCTCGCAAGAGTCACCTAGCTCTCGTTTGGAAAGTAGATCAACGGTCCCGGGACGAAGCTTGACCTCTGCGATCGGGCCGCTGCTTTATTTGGTAGGCAGAGCAGGTCGCCTGCATTAAGGTTTCAAGGGCAAAACATGGAGAATCACGAATATCTTGAAACTTCTGAAAAGCATCAGGAAATATCCAGGTCACATTTCACCCCAAAAATCACGATTAGAAAAATAAATGTACAAATGTATATGTATATATTGCATAAAGACTATATGGAATATATAGACATGTTTATGTTTTCATTCATATATATGTTAATTGTCAGGAAAAGGTAAAAAAAGTTTAAAAAAAAAAAAAAAAAAAAAAAAAAAGGCTACAAATATTATAGATTACAAAAATATTTACATTTTTCATGACAATTAACATATATGAAAATGTCAGATGGGCTAAAACATTTATATGCATTATATATTCCATATTTATTAAATAATACATAATATATATTATATATATATATTAATGAAATACAAAACATATACAACATCATTTATGAAAATGCCAAAATGGCTAAATATTGTGTGTAATATTGTATGGTAATTGTCATTTAAAAGTAAAAAAAAAAATGTAAATATATAATTTAAAATATTTTAACTTTACATTTTCATAACAATTAACAATGCAAATGTCAAAACATCTAATTGTCATGAAAATGTAATATATATATATATATACACATACACACACATATGTTTATATATATATATGTAAATATAACTTTTATTTATGACAATTACCACATAATATTAGACATTTTTTGCCATTTATGAATCAATTAACATGTTTAACCCCCATATTCTCATCACTGCAATATCCAAAAAAAAACAACAAAAAAAAGTTTAAAGTATGAATACATCATAGAAAGATTTAGATTAATGCTGTGTAAATCAGTGTGCCTGGACAGGATTATTACAGTATTACATGTTGCATTACACTAATGTATTACAGTAAAGGTGTTTTTGCATTAGGTAATGAGAATTTGAATGAATGTGCTTAAATGTCATGAAAATAAATGCAATTTTTTTTGCAAAATATAATGTCTCAAATAAAATAATTTTGGAGTGAAATCTGACCTGTGCATTTCTTCATGGCACTCTTCTAGTGTTGTGCATCGAATGCAGTCGACAGCGGCTTCGGAACAAGAGAAACTCTTCATGTAAGCGTGAAAACAGGAACACTGTAACTGAAAGCAGCACAAAACGCTGAAATAATGCAAAACACATGTAGCTGCGACCGTAACATTCCTCGGAGGGGGCCTTAGTGTCATTTCACACGAGTCTAATGGGAACACTCAAACCTTCAGACAAAACACACACGTAAAAAAAACATACTGAAGTCAATATCGAGGCACAGACGTTTATGCTCGCAGAGAGGCAAAGCGTCAGAGAAATCTCTCCAAGGCTGATGAAAGAAAAACAACGGTAATGTCACGGGGTGCAAAGAAATTCCTGAATACTTCCTTCGTTATTGCATCAGCATTTTCTAACCGGTACGGGATTAAACACTTTGTGCAATTAGTTTTGTGTAACATCTCTAAATACTTCGGGGGAATTGGGTAACCGTATGATTTTTAGTGCTAAAGAGCCAAAATCATGTGCTAAGACACAATAAACCCATTAATCTACACCATAACAACAATAACCCAAGATGTTCACACTCTGCAATATCATACAATTAGTGGGCATTTTGTATATGTTATGAAGCCCATTAAGTAAATTAAGTGAAATGAACGTTATATCAACATTAGACAAACGTTAAATCAATGTTCCAAATATGAAATGCAAAGTTTTTTTTGTTTTGTTTCAAAGATGTAGCAATTAATTGAAAACAAACGGGAGCAAAACAAGTCTCTAATTTAGTGCTTAAGATAATAAAAGCTGCATTAGCGTTTACTTGTGGTGATGACATATATATATATATATATATAAAATAAAAAGTAGAAAACAAAATACATAAAAACAAGACGGTGGGGTTTCACGCCACAAATGCCTACATTTGATTGACAGCGGAGCTCGTGCGTGCAATTCCGGCGAGAACCAGAAGACGGAGGGATAAAACATGAAACATCTGGCAACCGACTCAAAGACATCAAGAACAGAACGATGTCTTATTTACAGACATTTTCTCCCGCCCTCCACCTCCTGGCACTTTTACGAGGTTTAGGACGTCCCGAACGCTCCCCATCCTTCACGGACCGCCGCGTTTCCTTTTCACCGTTTCCCCAGGATCGGCGCAAACCGCTAGCTTGAATTTCAACCCAAGACGGAGCTGTAACAGTCCAACAGATGAACACTTTAACGTCCCAGAACAGCCAGACGGGATTTTCCCGATGAACGTCTTTTTCAACAACCAACAGGAATGGGAAATGCTCGAGACGAACCTCTGAAATGTGAAGCTACGTGTATGTCGGGGGTGGGGTTTTGATATCCGTTCATCCTACAGCGATAAGAGACACTAGCGGTAATCCACCGAAATATCCAGCGTTCCATTTCCAAAAGATGTTACGAGAAATGTTCAGAGAGAACTTTTGGCAAAAAAAAACGTTTGTGTGGATCACATGGTTTACGTGAAACTCCTCCCCCTCTCCTCGTCCCGTGTCGCCGCTTTACGAGGTTTTCACCAGGTCATAGACGTAAATGTGAAAGTCGTCATCAAACTTGATGAAGTAGACGGAGGGCTTGGCCTCCACCTGATGGATAACCATGCCAGTTCGTTTAGAGCCGTCCTCTTTGGCGTATTCCACCTGCTTCCCCACGAGGCTGTCCACTACCTCTCCGGGCTCACGCTCCGCCGGGGGCGAGTCGTCTGAAACACACAGGAACCATTATTAGTAAAAATAGCAATGACTCTTTGAATGATAAAAACGACTCGAATATGGTGCATTATTACACATCCCAAAAAACACAGAAAATTGTGTAATAAAATGTAATCGCATTTTCATTTCAGAAAAAGAAATCTACCAAAAACTTTGTCAATTAGTAATTTCAGTTTTCCAATTTTTTTTATTTATTTTTTTACATTGATTTTGTGAATTCTGTTAAATGTTATGGAAGTTTGTTTCTGGCAAGGGATGGTAATTGACTTTTAATCCCACAATTCGAACTGTATTTTCTTGCAATTCTGAAAAAAGTTAAAAGTTATAAATATAAACTTTTAAAATGTTTATTCCGTGGTGAAAAACAAAACAAAACAACAGAACTTGAGAAAATATAGTTACTATCTCGCAATTCTGAGTTTCTCTCGAAATAAAGTATATCTATTATATATACAGTGGGTACGGAAAGTAAGATACTTTTTTTAAGAAGTGCTGTCAAACAATTAATCACGGTTAATCGCATTCAAAAAAAAAATGTTTATACAAAATAAAAGTTTTTGTTTATATAATATATGCGTGTGTACTGTGTATATGTATTATGTATATATAAAATACACACACATGCATGTATATATTTAAGAAAATTATCCCTAATATATATATATATATATATATATATATATATACACACATTTTTATTTTTTTGTAGTAATATTGTACAAAAAGAATTAATTATTTTCATTATTATATTATAAAGTACACAATTTTATTTAAATATTATTACTATAAATTACACACACACACACACAGTACAGTATTACTACAAAAATGTGTGCACATAAAGGTTTGGGGTTGGTAAGATTTTTTTGATGAGACGTTTTTGAATGTCTCTTCTGCTCACCAAGTCTATATTTATTTGATCAAAAATAAAAACACAATATTACAGTAAAAACTGTAAAATTGTGAAATATTAAAATTTTAAATAACTGTTTTCTATGTGAATATCTGTTAAAATGTAGTTTATTTCTGTGATGCGCAGCTGTATTTTCAGCATCATTACTCCAGTCTTCAGTGCCACATGATCTTCAGAAATCATTCTAATATGCTGATTTGCTGCTCAAGAAACATTTCTGATTATTATCAATGTTGAAAACAGTTGTGCAGCCCAATATTTTTGTGGAAACGGTGATACATTTTATTTTTCACGATTCACTGATAAATAGAAAGTTCAAAAGAGCAAAATTTATTTGAAATAGAAATCTCCTGTAACATTATAAATGTCTTTACGGTCACTTTTGATTAATATAATGCGTCCTTGCTGAACAAGACCAATATTGGTCTTGAGATTTTCAACTAGTCAAAGGTAAAGAGCAGTGAGCATTCGAACACACAGATTGAACACGATCACGGAAGACACTCACTAGAGTCTGGCATGATCCTCAGATCTCCGTCTTTATAGTCATCGAGCAGCTGATACATGTAGAGCACCGGGTCTTTCTCGTACGTGATGTAGAACCACGTGTTCATGATGGGCGCCCGGGCCAGAACCATTCCCCTCCACTCGTTCTTAGTGCCGTCCTCCGTCTCGAACATGTGCTCCACGGCTTTGCCGATCATGGTGTCGGCCAGGTGAGCGTCGCTGATGCGCGTCGAGGCTGAAAGACACGCGGGAAAACACGAGTGTGAGTGGCAGGACCGGAAACATCATTCACGGCAGCAAATCTGGGACCAATAATAGTTAGGGAGCTCATTTTTAGTCCATCTCCTATCCTGAAAAGTCTGTCTTTTCGAGACGGACCTTCCAGAATTTACTGCCAGATTTCTGAAGATAAATTCTTGAAAGAGGACGTGCTGCTGGTGCTTCAAGAGTCACTCTATAAAAGCCTATAAAAATCAGTCTTCATGTATTTCACAACACTTCAGCATGCTATTCTTATTAAGCAGGGGTCATTTTTTAGGATTCTTTACCTAACCATTTTTTAGGATTCTTTACCTAAGTCTCTGAGAACCAGACACCTTGCACTTCTGGAGACTCCAGGTAGGTTGCCGTTCTGGAAAATGGTGGAACTGGAGACTAAAGGGTTCCTGATGGTTTCACATCTAATTCCTCACCTTAATTCTTTTGCAGTTAATGTGTCTTTTCTTCTCCAGCAGTTTTTTTCTGACCCAGTGAGCATTTTTACTCTTCAATGGTCATGCCTTAACGTTGCAATTTCTAGTATTGCATCCATTTAATAATTTTTGACTTTTCAGTCCGAGTTAAATCTCTTTTTTGGCTCATTTTATCTGTAAAAGAAAACCTGCCTAATAATTATGCACATCTGTGCATAAGGCATTTTTCACTTCCATACTTCATAGACAATTATATATCACTTATAAATGTTTAAAGACAAAATGAATAGTAGTTATTAAGATTGATGTGGTTTGGAATTGGTAAAATGTGCTTGTAAATAAAATATGATCAGAATATCAACTTGCGTAATAATTATGCACGCACTGTATTTGAGCAACATGAGTTAAAACCTGGAAGAGTCAGATTTTCATGATATGTCACCTTTAAAATAATATAATTTCATAATTGAATAAAATGCCTTTTCTGTCACTAATAATGCAGCCCAATTGAACTGGTTTGCACTCTTCTTTCTATGTGTGCGGTCATGAACGTGTCAGTGAAATGAAGTAAAGCAGGTACCGAGTCTGTCTGGCAGGACCTCGAGTCCCTGCACCCGCTCGTCTTTATGCAGCTCCAGGCCGTAGACGCAGTCGAAGCCGTCGTATTTGATCAGGTAGAGCGAGGGGTTGACGGGCACCTGGTCTAAAACGGTGCCTTTCCACTGCGACGCCGCGCCGCTGCCCTCCTTCCAGATGTGCTGGATACGACAGCCCACGATGTTCCTCCGCGGCTGAGCCACTGCTTTGGTGGGGCCTACGCTGCTTTTGTGTTTCCTGTCAGATGATCACAGATCAGCATTAACACCGCTCTGAAATGATAACATTTATATTTCCCGGATGATGAATTCTGAATCAGTTTCAAGGTGAAGTGTGTCATTTCAACAACATCAAAAACACTTGATCCAAATGGCATTCGGATCTCGTCCTAAACACAGAGAAAGTATTTTAACATTTAAAAATATAAAGAAATGCACACTTAAGCTTTAATCCTTAATACATTTTATGCTTCACCTAATATTTAACATTATAAATTAATATTTATAATGATTATTAAATTAATAAATTATGTATTTATTATGATCAATATGAGCTAAACGTTTTTAAAAAATATTAAAATTATAAAATGGTATATAATAATTAAATACATATTTAAAGATTCAGCCCTCAAACAAGCAAATAAAAAATGTTTCACCTAATAATTATTTATTATTTCAATCATTATGAACTAAACATTAAAACTATTGATATAATATATTATAATGTAATAATAAAATTCAAGTGTTCAATCCTAATACACAATTAAATACAAAAATATACTTCAACTAATATTTAACTATAATATTGATAGAAATTTATTAAATTCAGAAATGTTATTTATTTTGATCAATAAGCACTAAACATTTAAAAAATTTAAATATAATGTAATAATTAATATTTATACATTCAGCCTTAAAACACAAGCAACTACAAAATGCTTTACCTAATATTTCCCTCTGAAAGTGATTATTAAATACATAAATATTTATTATGATCAATATGAATTAAATGTTTAAAATATTAATATAATATAATGTAATTTATCATATTCAAGTGTTCAATCCTACTACACAAATACAAAAATATACTTCACCTGATATTTAACTCTGATAATGATAAAAAAAAATGTATTCTATTTTTTAATTAAAAATATGAACTAAACATTTTTAAAAATGTCAATATAAAAATTTAATAGAATTCATATTTATATATTCAGCCTCAAATCAATCAATTAAAATATTATGCAATCAATTAAAAATTATGCTTTTCCTAATATTTAGCTCTGATAATGATAAGTATTAAATACATAAATATGTATTACAATCAATATGAACTAAACAATAAAATATTCATACAATTTGTAAAATATTTACATAATGTAATATAATAATAAATAAATTCATATCCACACATTCAGCCCTAAAATACAAGCCAAAAAATGTTTACAAAATATTTAACTCCACAAATTATAATTATTAAATACATAAATGTTGTATTTATGATCAATGGGTTTAGCATTTTAAAAACATTAATATAATTCACACATTCAGCACTAAAAGAAAAGGAAAAATAATCATTACATTCATAAATGCTATAAACATTTTAAAAATATTTATATAATATGTAAAACAATAACTAGGATTTGCCCATTCAGCCCTAAAACACAAGCGAATACAAACTTACTTCTGAGAGTTCTTTTTCTTCATCATATTTGCAGAGACACCAGCATGCCCTTCAATCACACAGACAGCAAACACGGTTAATATTAAAGAGACGATGATCTCCAGAAGGCTCATCAGAAATCAAAGCGCCACTCTGACCTGCATCAGCTCTGGATCTCTGGGCTGCGTTCTTCCCGAATGGGGTCTTCATTCATCTGTGTGTGGGGGAGCAGCCCGGCTGCCGCACTAGGGTCAAAACTCACTCTTTCTGATGAATGAAAGAGTATCGGGGGAGAGGGGATTCAACCTAAAGGGGGCAGTCCAAATAAAACCAAAAATGCTGGCATGTAACGTGCTCGCCCGATGCCCGTCTGACGGGTCGGCCTCTCAGGGCCCGCGCGAATGAGTCCTGATCCAGACCTCCTTCAGAAGGGCTCCAGCAACCTAAAAAATTCAAGAACATCGGCTTAGGATACACTCTGGGAATGCAAACGGACACATTTTAATTGAATGGGAGTGAAGAAGCTCCACCTTAATGAGCCAAATTACATGTGATTTACAGTTGACGCGAACAACTTCATGAAGCTTAAGTGAAATATTTCATTATAACCCTCTGACTATCATGAAAATATCAAGCTGAATCCTAAAACATAAAAAAAACATGGAAAATGGGGTCAAATCTCAAATGTGATTATGTTGACATTAAATGGATAGCTCATCCAAAAATTTTAATTGTGTCATCATTTACTCACCCTCAAGTTGTTCCAAACCTCTATGCATTTCTTTATGTTGAACACAGACATAAAAAAGAAGGTTGGTAACCAAACATTTGCCGGTAGCCATTGACTTCAACAGTATTTTTTTCCATACTATGGGAGTCATAGGGGACCAGCAACTGTTTGGTTACTAAAACCTCGTTCAGACTGTCAGCCCAAATCCGATTTTTGTGCAAATCCGATTGAAATCCAATCATATTTAGATAGAATGAACGGCAACGAACTACATTAAATCCGATTTTTGCAAATCCGTTTCGAGCTACATCCGTATGTGGTTTCAAATCACATTCCTGGAAATCCGATTCAGTCTGACCGCTCAGATCGGATTTAGTACGCCACGTAAAACGTCAGACGTTTTTGTAGAAAACAATGAATGTCTTTGCAGAAACATGCTGGTGTTGTCAAGCGGAAAAAGACAATATATTGCTAGTATACGCACCTCTTTGAGTTTTGAAACCAGCAGAGACGGCAGCACGGAATAAAGACGCTCATTCCAACTTTCTGCGTTTCTGCCGCTGCCTCATAAGACAAAATCCATAATAAGACAACATCTGTATTACTAATTGTATTGCTGTTATTGTTGTTGTTTAGCATTGGCATAACAACGCAACGGCATTGCCATAGAAACCATCGCACACTCCGTAAAACGAAATGTTTTTGTTTACATAATATATGTGTGTGTACTGTGTATATTTACTATGTATTTATAAATACACACACATACAGTATGTATTTTGAAAATATTTACATGTTTTTACATGTATATAATTACATTCATATAATTTATATTATATATAAATATATTTAATACATAAACAATATATTTTTCTTAAATATATACATGCATGTGTGTGCATTTATATATACATAATAAATATACACAGTACACACACATATATTATGTAAACAAAA